TGCTGTTTGCGGACGGTCTTGTTTTGCAGGTATCCTCCGAAAATGATGTACAGCGCACCATGGAAAGGTTTGTAGCCGAGTGCGAACTGATCTATAATGCATGCGTGTGAACGCATCTAAAATGAAAAGTCTGGTGTTTTCTCGCTCTCCTGTCCGTTGTTCTCTTCAGATTAATGGAAAGGCAATGGAGCAGTTGGAGAAGTTTAAGTACCTCGGAGTCCTGTTCACTAGTGATGGAAAGTTTGAAGAAAAGATCGACCGGCGGATTAGAGCAGCCAGTTGCTTTCTGGGTGAATAAACCCTATCCACTGTGACTAAAGCAGACCTGAGTTTGAAACGTAAGCTCTCGATATTAAAGTCGATGTTTATCCGCTGCTTTCCAGCAGTCATTAGTCGTGGACCATGACTGAACTGCTTCGAGCCCGGGTAAAGCTGCACAAAAGGCCTTTCTGATACAAATCTCTGGCCCTACTCATCTCGATTTGGTCCGCAGTACAGACATCCGCGAGAGCCTTAATGTAAGCCGATTCTTCTTCAGATTGAGAAGTCACTGCTGCGATGGCTTGCGCACTTGTTCCGAATGCCTCCGGAAACTAAGGAATCGACTGTTTCTTCTCCAGGGTAGCGGCACATGGCCCAGGAGATGGACAAGATTTACCCGGTGCAAATATACGGTAGGAGTCTGCGCGAGGCTCCGGTTTCCTTCAGCTGATGCTGAGACTGGCTCAGGATCGGAAACGTTGAAAACAGTGTCTGATGTGTCTTCCTGCGCGACCGTAAAACAGAAGCCGTGGTGGAAAAGGATGATAATTGGAGGTCCTGTTCACATACCTTTTCAGCAACGGTGATTCGTACACGACGAAGACAAAGTTGATGGCATTCACATATGATGGCAACACCGTACTTAAGCTTCAGGTTGATGACAAAACAAAGAGTAATGACGTCGTTCTTCAGGCATATCCTCAGAAAAATAATTGAATTCCGCACGTGGACTAGGCGGAGTTTCCATTGTTTCAGCTCTCTCAGTGCATAAACCAGTTCTGGACCATCTTCATCTTCAATCACCGCTTCCCATTTCGGATTGCGGAGGCAGACGAGTCAGACAGAGCTTCCAATGTTCCCGATCCTCTGCCAGTGTCTGAGCTTCGGTACAGGACAACTGGAGTCTGGAACAGATTCCGTTTATATATTTGCACCATATTAATCTTGGCCGTCCCGTCGGCGTTTTGGCGGTCGGTTTGGCAAGATACAGTTGCTTAGCCTTCCTCTCTGGAGGCACTCGCAACACATGCCCAGACCATCGCAGCTGTGACTTTTTAATCTGGAGAAGCAGAGGCAGTGCACCAAGGCTCTTCCAGATGTCCATATTCCCGACCATGTCGAGACGCGCAAGGCTAGCGAGTCGTCTAAGAAAGCCCATTTCAACAGCTTGTACCCGGGTTCGAAGCGTTTCCGTCATGGTCCACGACTCATGACCGTACGTAAGCATAGGCATAAAGATCAGCCGTAACACCGAGAGCTCAATCTTGAGACTCAGCTCTGATTTAGTCACAATGGTTCAGGATGGTTTACGCAGAGTACCAGTGATTATTCCAATTCGCCGGTCGATCCCTTCCTGAAACTTTCCATCATTTCGAGGTTTTTGAACTTCACCTGCCCCACTACCTCTCCGTTAATCTGAAGAGAGCAGCGGGCAGGTGAACGAGAAAGCACTAGGCTGTTCGTTATGGACGGGTTCACACGCATGTCAGTCACATCACAATTGCCAGCAAACCTTTCTAATTACACTGTAGCTGTTTGAGAGGATGCCAATAGGCCAAGGTCGTCTGCAAGCAGCAGTCTTCTCGTCTTCACATCTCCTACACCAGTATCGCCTTGGCTGCTCCTGAATATTCTATTCATGTCCAGTACAAATAGGAGAGGGGACAGGACGCAGCCTTGGCAGAGACCAGTGCGAGCGTTAAATGGTTTGGACGTAACGCCATTAACTCTGACGCAGCACCTGCTATCAGAATACAGTGATTGAATTGTCCTTCGCAGCTGGCGATATATCGCGTATGCTCGAAGGCAGGACCACAGACTGTTGGGTGGGATCCGGTCGTAAACTTTTTCTAGGTCAATAAAGTACATGTTCACCTCACGGGCGTACTGACACGATTTCTCAACAACCTGGCCTAGGGCAAATGTATTGCCAGAGATGCTTCGACCTAGCCGGCAACCACATTGCTCTTCTTGTATCTTGGAGTCAGTTATTCCGCGACACCTCCTTTCTAGTACCTTTGCGTAGACTTTACCTGGGAGGCTCAATAACGTAATCCCCCTATAATTGGAGCACTCCTTGTGATCTCCCTTCTTGAACAGGGTTACAGTAACTACCGTTCTTCTGTCAGTTCGTGTTTTTCCCGTAGTCATCGCAGTTTGACAAATGCATGTAAGGCAGCACATCCCTTGCTCGTCTGATGCGTTGAGCATTTCAGGGCGGATTTCATGAATTCCGGTCGCCTTTCCGTTTTTCAAGTTTTTCACAGCTTGTGTAATTTCATCTACAGAGATAGTAATATCCGTACCCTTCTGCTCTACAGGCGAGTCTTCTTGCGGTTGCTCGGGGTTAAGAAGTTCCTCAAGATACTCTCTGCATCAACGAAGACTGTCGTTATACTTGGTAAGAGGGTGTCGAGGCCAGTCCTTCAAGACTCTTAGACTGCACTTCTTTTCACCTCGGAGCCGGTGGATAGTCGTCAGAGTATTTTGTTTGCCGTGTGTAAATTCGACTCCATCAACTCACAGAACTTCTCCCACGAATGAGCTTTGGCTTTCGCCAGTTTTTCCCTTGCCGCCTTGCGTGCTTCGACATGTCGTACTCCAGTGCATGTCTGTTTTTAAGCCATTTTTCGAATGCAGCCTTCTTCTCTTTAAGTGCCTTTTATACAGTTGATATCCTCGAGGAGGCTCTTTTCTGACCTGCTGGCGGAAGGCCAATCCAATTGAATCCGCTGCATTCGGCAACAGCCTCGAAAATGCCGCTCTTGACGAGCTGCTACTCGGTTTCCACATGAGTGGTCATCGTCCCTATCTGTTCAGATTGTCTTTCGAAGTTTTTGTGCAAATTTCACTCTCGTGTCCTCGAAAGATAACGTTTCCTACTTGATTATGTGGTTGCCTCTGCCATCTGATCTTCGTGTGTTACTCCGTTTCTTGCGACACAGCAAGACAGCCACACGGAAGTGATCGGTTGAAAGCTCTGCGCCTCTCTTAACACGAACATCCCGTACAGTGCGTCTTAAGTCAGACGATACGATTATCAGATGGATCATCGAAGTTGTGCACAAGGTTCCCTGTACCAGATATACTGATGCTCGAAGAAATTGTTCATCTCCGTCTAAGTTGACACATGGCACACAGCGTTGAACAAACAACGGATGGCCATCATCGGTCATTTTGCAGAAGAGTTATGACGCTCTCGCGCCGAATTTACATGGACAGACGCGTCAGAATCCCAGTACGTAAGGCTGCGGCTGAAGAAACTTCTGTAAGCATTTTTTAAAACAGCTGTGTTGTGCCCCCTCCCTCTCCGTGGATCGGAATATACATATTAATTTAATTTTTCTCACCAAAAAAATTCGAGCAGACCGCACGACACGATGACAAAGACGACAGTCAAGTCAGGAGTTAGACATAAAGTTCTAATGTTCGTTTACACTATTACGCGTTCGTTTCACAACTGGTTTCCCGCCGAGCTTAACAATATCGCATAGTATTGTACCTTCGAACTCAGCCGTTTATGTACTAACCAAATGTGTTTATGTGATCAATGAAGCGTTTCGATCAATCGCTAGGCAGCTTCCTTATTCTTGTACCTCATTTGTTAAGCATCGTGCGAAGGAAAGGCATCGACAAATCATTTTTCACAAGTACTTTTTACAGGAATAGTATTTGCATGTTTTGCTATTTTACTTTTGAACATGTGGATGGGTATGGTATAACCGTATATCAAGGCTGAATGCACATTTAACCAATTTTGAGCCCAGAATTAAGAACTCTTGAAAGAAATGCTTTGTTTTATTTGCAGTTTTGCTTTCAGTTAGATTTCACGTGGCGTCAGGCGAATCACGAGAAGAAATGCTATGCGCAGCGTCGTGCCAGGAAACTCCAGAAGATTTGTATGGTTGCCAAATGTGCTGTAGTAGCTTCGACAGACGGCACGCAGTCCGTTACTCCTGCTTCTGACTGTTCAGAAGAGGAAAAAAGTGAAAGTAGAACCTCACCGATGGAAGCGTGTCAGGTGTCGAGTTCCACCGTTGAGGAAAATGTTACAGCATTAGAATTATTGCCAGACAAAGCCAACGCGGAGACTTTTGTCAACAAAAATAAGTCGGATGGGGAGAGGGAAATCATAGATAGGACGGCAGTTTCCGTGAAAGCTGAAAATATCACGGAAAGTCACTGGCACGATATTAAGTCTACGGAAGTTGGGGATCTCAACGGCCCGGAAGTAAAAACAGGAGACGCAGTGATAGATCATGGTGAAGGGTCAGAAGAACAGATTGCCGGATCACCGTTGTCTTCTTCGATGGCCAATTCAGCTTCACAAATCCTTGCGGGTCAAACGTTTACGAGCGTCGATGAGGTTATCAGTTCTTCGATTTACTCGGCTCGTGTTGCGAAAAAGCGTCCCGCACGGACACCTACCTCACAGTCATCTTGCGTGTTTGCCAAAAGCAACTTCACTTGTACTCTGTGTCCCACCATCTGTGCTTACAAGCATAGCATTATACGGCACTTGAGGAACATTCATCGGATCGCAGATCCCAGTCAGTTCTATCACGAGAAACCGATAGAAGATGGCGATGAGCAGCTGGGTATGATTGAATGTTAATTTTGGCCATATTTTCATCATGTCTTTCAGAGCAGCGCACCGTCGCCTGTCAGGTGTCCACTAGGTGTGCCGCATGCGATGAGAAGGATGCAGTGATAAAGCGGTTGGAAGTGAAGTTGAAGCGAATTTTCGCTCTCAGTGACCCCGTTTCATATAGGGACGTTGTCAACGGCTGTAACTGAGTTACATATTTGCGACGTTGTTCTGTTCTGTAAGCACTTTAAGCTAATTAGAAATACATCGCTTTTTTTCTTTTTTGTCATTAAAATCTGTCTGTCCGACAAACTGAATTGTCATAACAGTACAGTCAAAACCTGGTTGATTCGTCAATCGTTGGGAACGGTGTATGAAATCATATGCCTATTCGAAGAACTTACTTCAACTTTGACCATATGTAGAATACATCAGCTCATTTCTATCGGCTTTCAACGCAAAAGTATGAATTGTGCATTTGGTGGCAAACTACTTTTCAGCTGCATGCTGTGAAAATGATGAAGTCATGTTTGAATAACAACTTGCTAAACACAGGTTCGAGAAAGTTATTAGTAAATTGATAAAACGGCTTTTCAATACCGTATACCATTGAAAACTGAAGGACGCATAGAAACGGTTTATTTATACACGGCGCAAACTCATGAATCACCATAAAACATAGTGAATCAGTGGAAACCAGTACCGACGCTCGGCTCTCTCACTGGCCTTGTTCAGAATGGTGTGGGTTGATTTCCGCAGTTAGTTCTGTGGTTCGCAGTTATTGTAACGTTTGGAGCAAAACGTGTGCTTCTGATCCATGCTGCTGGTTAAGCAGTTTTCGACAACGGGTCTGACAAGGCTCTAAAATCTGTACATAGTTCGTAGCCTTTTTCTCAATGAACATTTTCGAAGGACTGGATAATTAAAACCTACTTGGTTGATCTGTTCAGCCAGTTTTTTTTTAAACAAAGCCCATGCAACCTGATCATAGGGGGGACGGGCCTGATGCGTGTTGCAAGAACCTCGACGACTTTTCACATTTTTCTCTGACCTTGACAGGAACGCAGGTTTGTTTTCTTCCCGAAAGATTTGTTGCTGTATGTCGCTCACGTTTGTCTGCGATCACCTATCTTCCCCAGTTTGAGAGGTCTTTTTTGTTTGAGTGACGGTGTTTCCTGTTTCTCCTGCATAATACTTTCTGCAATTACACGCTAATTTGTAAATCCAGTATAAAAAGTCGTTATTCTGAGAATTAGTTAACAGCACAAAATTACAGAACGTTAAAACTTAGACTTCTTAATACTAAATGCACTATTAACGTTATACATAAAAAATTGAATAAATTTAATGCCTTTGTAACTATTTTTGAGAATAACAACTGTCTAGGCTTGCTTTACAAATTGCCGCGCAACTGTGGCAAACTATATAAAAGAAACTCGAAACCCCGTCACTCAAACGACCAAAGACAACCTATAAAACTGCAGGTGGATGATCGCAGACGAATGCGAGCGACGTTCGGCAACAAATTACGCGGAAAGAAAAGAAACTCTCGCATCTAATAAGGTCAAAGAACAATGTAAAAATGCCTCGAAGTATGTGCAACACGCAGCTGGAAAGGGTCACGACCCCCCCTCCCCCTTCTCCCAAATGGTCAAGTTTCACGGGCATCGTATAAGAATTTACAGATAGAATCACTTGACTACAACAAGAAATCGTTTAACCCAATCAAAGACGTAGAAATAAAATTCTGCCAAGAAGAATGATTGCCGCGCAGCTACAGAGTATAACCAATCAATTTCTTAAAAGGAAGACAACATTCAGAAATCGACAGCATCAGAACGTTCGTTAGAACTCTCGTTCAAATCTGGACAGTTGTCTGATTCCGTACTTCTATGTAAAGTTCGAAAAGTTCGTGAAGTTGGCTTTCCCGTGCGATCTATCAAGTCAATGTTCAATGCTACTCAGTCAACTCTTGAGTCCTCTTCCTACAAAGGTACTGATACCTGATCACAACATATGCACTGCGATGCCGTAGATTTAAAAAAATGTCAATGGGGCGGCAAAAAGAACCGCCAGCCTTCATAGTACGCTTTGACATTGTCTCCCTCTTCATTAATATCCTCACAACAGACACAGTAGAGATCATGAAACATTGACTTCCAGGAGGGAGGAATTCTCCTTTTCAGCCGAATGGAGAACAGAAGATATACTGGAAGTCACTCGCATATGCTAAACTCTACCGAATTTTCGGCACTTCTAAAACAGTAGAATCAGCAAATCCGTTGCGCAGTGGGATATCGCATATCTACGGTCGTCGATGACATATATGGAGCATTTTGAAAAAATGACACTAGATGAAGCTGCACTTTGCTTAAAGGCTATGGTATAGGCACGTTATGGTCGTTGGCGATACCTGAGTTATGTGGCAACATGGATACAAGCTCTACAGCTTTTGGGAACACATAAAGAACATCCAGTCAACTCGAAGAAGATGATATATATAAGGAAAGAGATATCCCAAGAATGACCATCTACGAGCAGCCTGCTCGCGCCAGAAGATCATGGACTATAGATCACACACAGGCACTGATGAAAGCCGGACTTGTGCAAATTCCGTATCAGGGAAATTTGCGGATATGTTGGAACCCCACCACCTTCGAATCGCTGAACCAGTTAAGAGAAAACCACCATTCCAAATTGTTCATCCTCGAGTAGCTGCAAAAGGTAGACCGGAAGCGGAACGGAATCAGTCATAACCTAACGCCTACGCTTCAGGTACAATTTAATAGTATTCCGCTTTTAGTGACTGCACACACAAAAGGAATATGAGTGAAAGAACACAAAGGTGTTATGAAAATATATCGCTGTCCGCAAAACGGGGTTTTCTGTATAAGCAAGGGATCCTACAACGTAATGTAGTACCTCAAGTGTACTCTTGATGACACTAATATCGGAAAAACTGCAAGAAAACTCAGAAAAGGGATACGGGAATATATGGCGTGCACAAAGGGAACAGGTGGCAGACCACTGCATAGTAAAGAATAATGCATCTCTGGCGATTCAGCAAGATAATTTGAAGATGTTGTCGGAAAAAGGAGATATGTGAAGTCGTAGTAGCTGAACCAACAAACGATAAAATGAATAGACGAAAAGAAACACATACGGTCGGCTTTGTTTGATTACCGCTGCCGCATTATTAGCGCTGAAGTACTAAGCGTTGTGCTTCATTTGTTTGGCCATGCGTTTCATCCTACAGTATGTATTTATTATTGTACAATCATACATGTATGTATCCATCTGAACTCAAGCCATCTGAACTTCAACTTCCGATTACATTGGTAATCGCAACGAGGGGACGAATCGAATAAGCCAAGCTAGGCCTTAGATGTTGAATCAAATCTGCCAGTGGTCGTGCACTCATCAATTCGTTTTAACCGTAAATTGAACATATGTAGAAAAACGTATTTAGTTCAGTAAAATGCTTCTGAACTACAAAGAAGTCCATAATGAAACAACTGTTCGACTCCGCCATTCCAATCCGTCTCGACTGGTCGCGACCAAGCGCTTTAGGGTGATTTTGTTGTTCAAGATAAATCTTAGTAAATGAAATAAACTTTACGCCGTGAAATGCGTTGATCTGCTCGAGTGTGATCTACTATTTCACGTACCGGGAGCAGAAGGTGCTCACGGGGCATGTAGAAATTTTTCTGACTTTCAGAACTATGTAGCGACTAATCATCAGCAAAAGATTTGCCTAACGCGAATGATTCAAGCACACAGAACGCCGAGATGACAAAGTCTTACTTCACTTACATGTTATCCGCATGGAAAACAATGCAAAACGCACAAAATAATACATATTATTCTGCTGAAAAACGAAACAGATTGCTCTAAAAACAAAAACCCCGTTAAGCAACTGGGAGCCGCGGTCATTTTCACTCATGTGGAATCAAGGAAGGCTTTTAAAACTGCTTGAAATTCCAAAAATTGCTAATACATCAGTATTCTTGTCAGCTGTACAAAATATTATATAAATTTACCTTTCAACTGTCCGCAATTCGAAAATAAACACAACCGCGGTTTGAGCTCCCTGAAAATCAGAGGTGAAAATCTTCACAAAAGACAGTTTCAGTTCCAAACACAAAACTGCTAAACACAAATGTTACTAGGCAGGTGACAACGAATGTTGCACCATCATCATTGTGATCCACATACGCTAAATAGTGTATGAAATGAGCATTTTACACTCGATGGGTTATAATAACAAGAACCAAAAAATTACGATTCCAGGACAATGAACAGTGATTGAAAAATTCGACGACATCACAAGAGCCCCATACATCCCGGATACCACAGAGAAGGCCAAGGACTGCAACTAACCAAAGCAGAATGTCCGGTTGAAAATGAATAGCAATTCAGCTGAAAACACAAAGTCGGTAACAAAGAATGTGACTGCACAGAGGGATTCGCTGTTCCCCTCCTGAATTGGCAGCAAAGGATTTAATTACGTCGAGCAAAATATAGATCGTGATATCGATTACGAACTACAAAACTGCTTGTCACAATCACCGCTGACGTTCTATATGCAGTGACCGGGAATGTTCAACCTTGCAAACGTCAATAATCCAAAGAATATAAGCAAAATCCAAAATTTTACCGTTGCAGACAGGATTCTGCTCATATACCAGTGTTGCCTTGTCTACGGTAGTTTATCGCTGACGTTATCGTTACTACGGTGACTATGAGGGTATTCTCCGTTCTGAGATGCGCATCGTGAGGACTTCAGGAACAACTGTGACAGGATTAGAGATAATAACATTTTTCAATGAATCGTTGGAAGATATCTGCTTCACGATTCGAAAGATTCTTGAAAGAAATTTTCAAATTCCAACGGTATCTAAGCTTCACTCTCCAAGACAAAGGACACACTGCCAGACTAGGCTGTTCATCGATCGATAAACAAAGTTCAGTTTCCCTTTTATCGCAGGTTCCACTACTGATGATGAAACTTTGTGAATCGTGGCGAACACAGTGTGCAAAGAATACGACGGATTGTCTGCAATCCAGGCTGAATACGCCTCTATCTTCGCTGTGATGCGTATTGAATGATCTGTTTCCACTAAGGAGTATTTCAATTTTCGAATCT